CTGGTTTATCTCACGCCACCTCAAAGCACGTAGAACAGCTGACTTATACGGTTATGATGCCCTACCAAACTTAAGAATTTTCTTGCCACACGTAGGTATCACTTCGCTCATTTGAACTGCGGCTCGCAATTACACCCGTGGAAACGCGCAGCCAAGCCTGGGGGCAACTGGCTTTTGCCGGACTTGAAAATGCTCTTGAAACAAAATAAAATTCCAATTACTACTTGGAACTACATTTGGAAACCGCATAGTTCTTCTAAAACAAGCAAAAAGATCGCAGTTTGTCGCGAAAGTATACAGTCAGGTGTAGTGATATAAACTGGCACAGTTAGGAAAACAAGGAAACTGGTAAAGCTGGCCCTAAACTTATTCAAAAATTTGCCACTTTTTTGTCAGTTTGTACAATAAGTGACAACTGCATTTTGAAATCTTTATCATGGCCTATCATTTGGTAAAAAGGCAACTTTAGCATTTCTACAACTAGTCAAGGTGGGAGGATATGATTACTTTGTATCTCCAAACAAAAATAATGCTTTACAGACGTCAGGAACAAGGTCGTGTAATCGTTCCAAGCATTCATACTGTAAGGTGAAGATATTCAATGGCCTTTAGACTCAGTCAAATAGTCGTTATTCTCACTAACGGCCTGGCAGCAACTGCGAGTAGTGTGTTCCTGCAACGTAGTCTTACTTTGCTTATTCTCTCATGAATTTAAGATCTTCCACGGGACATAAATTCGCCGACCGAGTAACTAAACCGTCCAATCACGTTATCCATTTGGTTAGCGACTGTGCAACAGTTCCTCTCTGGGAAGGAATTCTGTGGAGTGTCATTCTGGCGGAATTTCTCTTTGTCGGAAAACGCCGCATTTTTATATGCAGTAGCTTTGTGGCAGTTCGCCTGATTTTTCAAATATCCCTTCTTGTGTACTTCAGAAGTACAGAAAATGACTTTCGAAATGCACCAGTACTCATTACTTCCAAGCATTTCAGTAGATTTTGATTTAAGAAGTAGCTTTTTTGAAAAAATTTTTTATTTCACTTTTTTGAATGGAATTATGTATACATATATACTTTTTTTTTTACTTTGAACTACGTAGTTATTTTTATGATAGTTGACTATGACTACTGTCTATAATTTTATACGCTGTCGTAGTAAAAGGTTTATTCACTTAAATTTTTCAGTTTGATGAGACGCTGGAAAAAGCCGTGTGATTTCACGCGACAGTCTCTAAATTTCAAAAGGTTTTATTAATATTTATTAATAACAGTTTTTATTATTACAGAAGAAAAGCCGAAGGAAAGGTTTAAGGGTAACAGCTTGAGTAAAATCTTTTCTTCACAGGCTAGAAACAAGCTTCATTTCTTTACAAATTTACGGTAATAGGCTTATTTATAGAAAAAATTGCCTATTTTCTCAAAATTTCCTATTCAGTGGAAGACATTAAAATGCTACTGAACATGGGAGAGCAATAGAAGATATTTGATGGGTATCTCAGTGTCTTCAGTGCCATGGTGAACGTTGCACCTCCGTGCAGTTCATACCTACTGGGGCTCAATAATGGGGAAGGAAATTCATTATTTTATTTATCTTTGTGTGTTGTTGTTATTTCAGTTCCTTCAGTGACGGATTGACGGTTCGATGAATTTGTCAGATCCCAAAACAAAGCTCATTTGATTTTTAATGTATAATTAACAGTTGATAATTTTCTTGAAATGTTTTGGTTTTTGGGTGGCTTTGCGATGAGCAAATTTTTGTGACAACTTTAAGTTTTTTACTCGACAAGTTAAGAGTGTTGCTAAAAGTAAGCTCTGGTAAAGCGTGATGCCGTTTTTAAAGCTCTTTTTCTACAGTTACGCTTGTTCAGTAACTGTCATCTTTTTTTTATTACAATGCTTGAAGATCAAGTAGTTCCGTCATTTTAGTAGCCGCTTTTTAACAAATATGGAACCAGTACCTTATCGTTCTATAATGCTGATTTTATATTGATGTTTACAGTAATGTCGTTTCTTGAGTTGAGATAGAGCAACAAGAAATTTTGGAGAAACTTTTCTTGGCAGAGAAATTATTTATTGGTACATGCAGCGCGGTGTGACATCAAAGCAGCAGCCTTTTCGAGTGTATGTATTACTTTCTTCTTCGTTCAGTTCATCTAAACTCTTATTCATTATTAGGCATTCTTTCTTTAATGTAATGTTTATTAATGTTAGAGCAGTTTGAAAGTTATTATTATTGTATTAAAAAACAGTTGTTTGCTACTGAATACTTATAGTGCATAATTGTGTAAATTTACAATCGCACTTAAAATGGCTACAGAATGGCACAATATTATGCAGAAATAGTGAAATATTGCAAATTTTGAAACTTACCAAATATTTTTGTAGTTTATTCTGATGTAGGTGAAGTAGAGTTGCTCTGAAGTACAATTAGCATTTTTTGACGTTATTTAAAAAGAAGATATTTTTGCTGATAGATATTTTTTGAAAAAATTAGAAATTGAGGCTGAAAATAAAATTTTTTATCGCTGACAAATTGACTTATAGCTGTAATTATTATGCAACCTACAGTTGTCCAGTAGAACTTCTTTTATTTTAGAAAAATTAGCCGAGACCAAGATTTTAAGTAAAACACAAAATTTTGTAAACTGGTTTTAACCGGTGAAGGAGGCTGTTGAAAGTTGAAGAAATCGCTTGGGAAGCTGAAGACCAATAAAAAATTGAATTTTTTTTTTGAAATGGTAGCAGGCAGAAAAAAAAGTTGGCTTTCTAAGAGCAGTTTTGAGGCAAAATGTGTAAGTGTCATCTGTTTTGATTGCTGAAAAAGAATTTGATTGGTCGTGTTGCTCAGATTTTAGCTATCGAATTATGAAAAATATATATGATTTGCGGCTTTTTGAGTTAAACACTATCAAATAACTCTGTCTGTTTAGTAAAACACTTACTAGTGAATCGCTATCGTCGGTTACATTTAAGTCATCTATTATTATCTGCTCTTCCTGAGACCCAGTAGACGAACCGGGAGAGCCAGATGAAGAACCCAAATTACCATTATGACCAGGAGAATACCAGGAAGAGCTTTGTTCCGAGTTGTTTCTGCTGCTTGAGGACTGTACCCAACTAGGGTTGCCAGCGTCTGATGTCGAATTTAGTGTGCTCTGCAGTTCTATTGATACATTGTCTTCATCGTTTTCAGATTGATTCTCTGAGCTGGCATCGTTATTTGTCTGAGGTTGATTAGTATTATCTGGTGTTGCATCGCTGTCATCATCTTCACCCAAGTTTATTACTTCGTCATCGTCATGTCCAATTCGCAGCAGAGGCAACTGTAACTGGTGAAAGAAATATGTTTAAAAAAGTTGTTGAACTATTAATACAATAAATTTGGCTAAGCAATTAAAAACAGTGTAGCATTTTTTTTAGATTAATGCAATGCAACAATTTTCAGTTTTTTTTTTTTCAATTTTTTCCCCTTTTAAACAGCTTACATATTTTATTCTACCACAGTTCTGCTATATTGTTCTTAGAACTGAAAAACAATGTAGTGTCTAATACATAGACAACTAAGCAAAAAATTTTTTATTTTTCTAGTATATGACATTTATCTATCATTTTTTTTTGCGATACTGGAGGTCAAGATTACTTTAAAAACGGCAGCGTATTTTATTAGATTTGTTTTCACATTAAAAAAAAGCATAATTAAACCTTTTTTTCAGACTATATTTCTGATGACTTTTGAATGATATTTTTGGAGACCAATAAAAACCACTTTTTTTATTACCTCAGTTCAAACATTTGATAAAATTTACTAAAAAAGAAAAACACTAAGAAGCAACAGATGTGGAATTTAAAGAGTGCATACATATTTACGGTAAAAATTATATGTACTAATAATTTAAATTATGTTACTAGGTTATTAATTATTTTGTCATAGACTTTGAATAATTAAGGATTTAGGAGTGTTAAAGGTTTGAGAAAAAAACTCAACAATTTCTGCAAGTCGCCTAGGCGATATAGTTTGACCATCACCTTTACCATTGACCAAAATACCACGAATTACAAATGGTCCCCTGGACATTCTACATCTAAAAATCAGAACGACAACATTTTCAATAGATAATTTGATAAGAAAAAGTTGAAGGAAATATTTGAAGAAGCATTGAAAGACTAAACCTGCCGCCTTTTCATTGTCACTTCAGATGAACAAGCTGCAGTTGTCTCAAATCTTGAAAAACAGAAATTTAGAATTTAGTTTTGCCATTGCTGGTGTTCTTTTAATGTTTCACTTTTTTTGTTCTTTATAGTGCAGTACTATAAATCAGTCAAAAAAGAAAAAATACCTATACAAAATTACTGTAGTCAATCATTTTTAGTCTATAACAGTTATGCTGACTGCAGGAAGTACAGGTGACGACAATAATTTTAAAGCTTATTCGGCAGTCTTGAAATAAATAGCTATTGTTTATCAAAAATGAAAAAAG